TGAAGCATTGCTTCTCGCTTCAGAGTTTGTCGATCTCCATCAGCTGACCTGCTCCTCCATACATCACTCCCATCGCATCCTTCTTATCGCCACTGGACCCAGAGCCGGTGGCCTTTCCTGATGATTGGTTTTGGTTGCCTCGACCTGAACCACTGTTTTGATTCGGGGAGGACTTATGGGCCTGCTGCTGCGCTAGGCCATATCGGTAGTTGGCATCGATCCTTTCGATATGCCACTTCCATTCTGCGTATGTCGTGGGACATGCGTTGTCCCCATGCATGATTGTGGTGCAGACTGTAGGTCGCACCGCAGCTTCTACTGCTTTGAACATCTGCTTCTCGTCTCCAAATTCTTCACACTTGTGGGCCAACTCTTCGAACTTCACGAAGAACTCTACAGCCGTTTTAAAGTCGGCCTGCCTGAGTTTCTTCCACTCTTGCTTCCTGATGGCTATTTTGGCTACTTCTCAGAAGCGTGTCATGAGGTCCTCAGTGAACTCGCTCCACAAGGGTAGCCTCCAGTGTCCCGTGCCATCCTGATATTGGTAGTACTGGTCATTCCACCATTTTTGCGCATCCCCACAGAGGTAGGACTGGGCAAAGGTAATCCAGTAGGGATTTTGGTCGGCATTGTTAAAGGTGTAGTACATGGGGAACACCTGAAAATAGAGTTCGCAGTGGTGAAGGAACTGGGTTATGTCCGAGGATTCCCCAGTGAAGTATTCGGGCTGTGTGATCAGCTTCGGTTTTATGTCATTCCATGGGTTTTTCGCACCCAGGGCTAGTTGCCATGCCAGAGGAGTGTTAGGTGGTGAAGGTGGTACCAGAGGTACCGGGGGGTTAGGTGGCCTCGAAAGCGATCACAGCAAGCGATTGTGAGTAGGGGATGGATACCCTCTGGGTCAAGTGCTTAATGGCATGGGCAGGAGTACCATTGGTTTCTTGGGCACTTCCAGTGCTTTCCCCTTGTCTGGGTTAGGGGGCTCCGTGCCCTCATCTTGTGCCCATTCATCTCTGCCTCCCCCGCCTGCTTCAAGGAACTGGGTTTCCAGCAGATTGGGCATCCATGCCGGCCTTCAGTATGCAGCACACTCCTGCATCTTTTCTTCCCCTTCATGGCATATATTCCAAATGTGGGCCACCTGGTGCCAGGCGTCCACCTCAACAATGTTCTTCATCATTATCGTGTCTCCAACTGCCCTGGCCTCTAGGTAATCCTCTCCTCCATCTGTGAGCAGCCACTGGGGATCGTCCACCATGTCCTTGGCCATGATCTCGTAGAGGCCTACCCAGTCAAGAATGGCCAGGATGGCCAGGACATACTGCACCTCCCTTCGTAGTACTGCCTTTACTTGTCGCAGCACTTCTACTTTAATGGCATGACCCAGAGGTCGTGTTGGCATTCCTCCTCCACCTGGCGATGTCGGAATCCTTATCGTAGAGCTCGTTCTGGTAATTCTCCCAGGCATATCTTTGCTCCTCAAGATCTGCTCCAGCTCATCGTACCACCCCTGTGTATTGGAGGGTGGCCATTCTGGTTCATCAGGCGACCTCATCTTCCATGGCGTCAGGCTCAAGGGGGAGGTCCCAGAGTCCGTCAGGTCTCTGGAGGGCAGCAATTTCGGCGGCACGGATTTGTGCATTGTTCTCTCTTGCTCTGTCCATTCGGGCCTGGACATCTGGGGCAAGCCAGGCATTTCGAGGGAGCTCAAGGGACTCAACAAGCATGTGGTAGAGAAGTGTCCACAGTCACTGGTGCTGAGGGATGGGGAGATGGAACGCTCTCGGGGGGGTTCCTGGGGTAAAATTGGGGACCTCGGGGAGCTGGCTGGTGCTGGCACTTGGCTCAGCATGATCAGGGTTATGTTCCTCGATCTGGTTCCAGATCTGCTGGTTCTCTTCGTCTGAGAGGGTGGTGGTGGTAGAGGTCTCTTGGGCAGGCTCTGCCATGGTCCTTGAGGTTGATACTCTGGCCACAACAGCTTCTTCCCTTGCGAAGACCCAGCTTGTGGCTGGGTACCAGGCAATGGGTATCCCTTGGTTTGCTGGCCAATTACCTCCCACATTTCCTGCTCCAGCAGGGTGGTTTTGGCTTGTATGGGTGGTAGTCGTGGCAGAGGCCCCAAGGCCAAGCTCTCCATCATCCTCTTCAAGGTCGTCTCTGGGGATTCCCCTCCTGACTTCTTCTTCAGCCCACTGGTCTCTAGTATTGGGGTCAGGTTCTTCTTCTTTCCCGCCCCTGTCATTTTCGAGGAAGTTTTGGATCCTCCTGCCTTCATCGTCCCAGAGGTTGAGAGGGCCTCCCTGGTTCGACTCCAAAGACCCTTCTTCTTTGCTTCCTGACTCATGTCCGAGTGCAGGGAGGTCAAAGAGTCCTGGTACTGGTGTGTCTCCGACATTGTAGAGTACGCCCCTGGTATCTGTGATATCAATGGAGGCTGTTCGATAGGAGTCGGAACTTGACTCGGGGGTTTCTCTGGGTGTGATGGGTCGTCCATCGTGAAGGGTTGGTTGCAGGGGACTTTGGGCCACCATGGCAGTCATTACGAAAGGTGGAATATAATGAAGGGGGAGTCTCGCTCTTCTTTCCCTCACCCTCTGACAGCACCAATAGAGTTGTCGAAAAACGATAATCAGGACTGCAAGGGTAAAGAGGGTAAAGGTGATCGAGAGGGTTGGGAGCAGTTCAGAAAGTGGCATAGAATTTGCCAAATGACAATAGTCACGGCCACTAGAACGATGAAAGTGGTGGTGAGTGCAATACTCAGTTCGAGGGATGGCATAAATTGAATGCCGGTTTTAAGGTTTTTTGGAAAGGCTTCTGGTTCAGCCGAGGATATATCAGATAGAGCATTGGGTAGCATTCGTTCTCTGACGTGGCACTAGGCAATGTAAGACGAGCTACGGCTAAATGTTAACAACCAACTAAAATCAACTCAGATCGAACTAGGATCACCACTCACACTTCAGTGATACGATACACTAGTCAGTCTAAGTTGAAAAGGATAGCCAGTCGCAAACTTAGATAGTCGTGTAACAAGGAGTATGGGATGGGTAGATTAAACCTTAGCCGTAGCTGGGGTTTAGGCCAGTGAAGGCTACTACTTAAATACATTGTGGATACGATATAAATAGTACTGTGAGAACCGTCTGATAGGGATCGCATGTTTGAGTAAGCAAGAATGAGTAAAGGGAAGAAAAGAAAATGAATAAACCGTAACAACATCCAAGGTGTGCCTGTTGTTGATATAGGGGATAAAGTTGGAATAAGGCCTTTCCCAACAATTAATTGATCAACAGCAGCTGGCTCGAAGTTTTAAGGTCAGAACTCGGATGGAAGGATTAATTATTTGATGGCCAAACGCCAAATGAGCGAAGTATTGATTGATAGATCATGACTAAGGAATAATTATTCAAAGTGTTTTTTTCTTTCCAAGCAATGAACAATTGATGGAAAATGTGCCCAGAGCCCAGAGTGTAATTAATCAGTGGATGAATGAATAATTAATCTTTGAGGACTTGAAGCAGGCCCTAGGGTGGCTGGAACCAAGGAACAATCAAGATGAGTGAGAATTTTCTGAGATATGAGAAAAAGATACAACAGACTGCTGTAGTATCAAATGGGGCCAGTGTAAGCACTATGAGTCTGAAGGATTTAAGAATGTAACTGGTCACAGTTCCAGGACAATGGGGTGGACAGTATATAGTATATTCTTGAGTGGCCAGGTCGTTGAGCATAAGCAGAAGAAATTAAAATATTTGAGAATGGGGGGAGGAGCAAAGAACATAGACTGGCACAGCCACACAGTGCCTGAATATGAATGGAGCACAGGGCCTGAAAATCCAGTATCACAAGAAATTTGATCCTGATATGAGGACAGATAAGATATTCATAGCATGAAGAATTGGAAGCAAGTATCGGCACAGATTGGCAATCAAAACAAGAGCATCAGATGGGCACAGCTAAAGATCAACAATGAATAATTAGGAATTTTGTGGAGCATCAAAATCTGGAAGGTCTGGGAGTGAGAGGTGTTTTTAAAAAAAAGAAAAGTCTCTCCCACACAGCTTTTCATTAATAAAATGGTCCTTATGGGTTGTTCACACTGCATCGAGGATTAGGCTAACCTCAAGTATGACGATCGAATCTTTTGTGATGAGTACTCATTTATCATACTTGAGGGACTCAAGCATGGTGAGCTAAACTATTCCATTAATGCCACCTCTTTAATCTAGGGCTGCACACCATAACCGTATTGTACGGAAATACGGCTTCCATGTACAGTATATGTACCGACACTGTGAGTGCCTCAAGCCATACCATACAACACGGCCGTCGACGGCCGTATATTTGTGGCAGTGCTACAAGGGGGGAACATGCATTTTTAAGGCCATAAATCCTCTTGAAAACATACTAGAATTACTTACCATCATTTTCTATGGGTCTCCGAGTCGGACGCGACATGTTAGGCACCTTCTCGAGTTCCAAATATTGCATGCAAGGCACTATGACATCACCAATAACCCCTTAAGTCTCATGAACTGGGACAAAATGGTCAATTTCATGACCAGAATGTGCTCTGACGACGTTGAAATGTATGGTACATTGATTTTCATCATATTCAGCACTGAGATCAAGTCAGTTCTAGAAGCATACCTAGTAGCTGTGAATACGGCCGTAATTGTACGGTCCGAAGCTGTCAGCGTTCTTGACCATACGGTTTACGGACGGTGCGCAGCCCTACTTTAATCGTTGTCATCTCAGCATCTACCTACGGACCCATTAACAAACACGCCATTATGATCGGACAAAGTGAGCCTGTAGCGGTGTGAAAGCCTGAGACCCACGAAATGGACCAGGATACAGGGAGGAAGGCGAAGCAGTGGAGGGTGACGACGGTGGTGAGTAGATTTGCTAGCAAAGTCGAGGTGGGTATCGGGCCGAATATGCCGCTCTCTTTCCTTGGTTGGATTTTTGGACAATGACGCCACAACGTAACGCCGTCTCTCTTGGCTCTCATGTCGTATTCTAACGGAATCCTCGTTTTCTCGTGATGCAATGCTACTCTTTTCTCTCTACCATTGGTGAGGGGGGGAACATTCTAAACTAGACTCGGAAATTCCTTTGACCGTCCTGGCAGCCCTTTTTTTAATCCAACCGGTGGGTGGGAATGACCGTACGGCGTGATATGCTTTTTTATAATTATCGAGCCCGTCTAGTACTAACATTAAAGCTTACCCATGATAGCACCTTCCAACCCAACGCCAAGCCTATTTCCTCAGGGGAAATCGGCTCCAAAGATCGGGCCACCGCTAAGACGCATGCAACTGCGAGCGCGCAGTTCCATCTCTTTCTCCTCCGCTTTTCTCGAGGTCGAGTCGGTACGCGAAGTGAAGCCCGCGATACCCACGCTAAAAGCGATTGTTTGATTATCGGCACAACAATTCAGGCACATTGGCATATGGGCCCTGCTATTGAATTCACGAACCCGCTTCTACACCCCGTTGGAAGCCTCCTTCAATGTTCATCATTTTTTTTTCCTTTCTTCTAGGCAATCAAGTCATGGGAACAGCTCGAGGTGCGTTCCATCTATATCACGGGGGGGAAAGGAACACTATAAACATAGGGACGCAGGGCATGGATAAATTACACGCGATCGGACGTCTTCCCCCGTCTCCCACTTTTTCCCGGCGTTTTCGTCTCGCTAGAGAGCGCCTAAAAGCCAGAGGCCAGGCTTTGCACCTTGTTTTCTCTCGCGATGATGTTTCGACGGTGCGTGCGTAGGGATGCGATGTTGCTGCTCATGGGAGCGTCGATGATGCACTTGTTTAGCATGTTCTCGACTCCTTCGATGACTCCCAGTATTCGAAGTACGTGGTTCTACGAGGCACCCGTAGATTTGGATCCCCTTCCACCTCCTCCTGAGCCAAAGGCAGTCGTACCGCGAGACGTGGAGACGGTGACCGTAACAGTACACCCAGATCCGAAGCAAACACCCCTCGCCAACCCAAATCGACCCACCTCCCTCCCTCACACGTCCATCGTTCACCATGCCCCAGGATGGACACTCTTCAGGAATCTGTACATGTCCGACGGGACATTATTTATCCTGTCCAATAACAGGTCATTCCCTGATATCAGGATGATGACCAGTACGGGGTTCCCAGCGGAGAACACGCGGGAGAATATCGCGATGAGGGAACCGACGAGGCATCATATGGATATAATTACGCCTGAGTGGGCGAAACGGAGGTGGGGGGAAAGGGTACTGAGCGTTGAGGGGAATACGGTGCGTTCAATGTTCTCCCGAGATGACATCAGATTAACATTAGCTTTAGCTCCTGGTAAATGAACCAAGCCAGTTCCTACGGCATTACTACCATCTCTGTGCAGAGCTCTTCTTCGGCGTCCAAGCCTTCTGGCACGGAGCCCATTCTCAGCCTACCTCAGAATCTGAAGGAGAAGTCCTCACCCACCCCGCCCCTCCCCCCCTCGATCGCGTCATATTCGCCCACGCCACCACCGACGGATGGCGCGACGGCCCCGGCTTCAACGGCTTCTTCCTCCGTGCCGCCTATCCCTCCCTGACCGTCGAGACCTGGGACGACTGGGAAGACCGGATATCAGCTACAGCCGGGAGCACCGGTGCCTGGCGCTTCCCCCTCGTCCTCCTCACAGACCGAAGCGCCGCCCATCGAGGGCCGATATGCGGGAGCCAGACTCAGCGGATCGCTTCCGAGGCATGGGATTACATGCGTCGGCATGGATTGTTGATGGGCATCCGCGTTGGGGGGTGGTGGGAACCTGTACGCGCTGCTGTGCTCAAGTTTGCTGGGGCGCCTGTTAGTCGGAGTGGGATACGCGAGAAGCCTATGCCGGAGAGGGTTGTTATCACGTATATCAGTCGGCAGGGTGGGCATCGGCGTAAGCTTATCGAGGAGGACCATGATGGTATGGTCGAGGCACTGGAGGAGCTTGTGCAGAGGAAGAATACGAGGAGGGACGAGGTAGAGTGGGAGTTGAATGTGTTGCAGGCTGAGGGGATGACTAAGGATATGCAGTTGAGTGTTATTGCCCGGACAACGTTTCTTTTGGGCGTACATGGGAATGGGCTGACGCATTTGCTGTTTATGCCCCCGACGAAGCTGTCGGCTGTTATTGAGATTTTTTATCCTGGAGGGTTTGCGCATGATTATCATTGGACGGCGAGGGCTCTCGGTATGTCGCATTTTGCGGTTTGGAACGATACGTGCGTACTCTTTTATTTTGTTATACTCGGATTCGCTCAGGCTTTGTAGGTTCTACACATACCCCGACGAGCCAGGGGTTGATTACCCCGAGGGATTTCAGGGAAACGAGATACCAGTCTATGGACCTACTGTCGCTCGGATTATCGAAGACAGGGTGGACGGAAAGCTGTAAAAGTATATAATATTATACCTATCTTGTATCATACCAGCGAACAATCCACGCGTTTACTTTGAGGAAAGATGCAGGAAGCAGCGAAGTAAGGATTACTGACATGTATGCGTGCCCAAGAATTGAAGAACAACGTGCTGTGTATCATGAACAGCGAAAATGCTCATCAATAAAGCCTAGAATACCGCCTAGGCGCTGAGTAAAAATTTCGCTCTCAAACTGACCCATCAGCAAAGAATCCCTGATATCAAAGACTTTCTGTAACAGCTGTTTCATCTGATTCTGAAAGGCAGACTCTGCGCAACGAATGAATCAATTGCCTGTCTATGATTGGATGTATACACCATAAGTAAACCTTCATATCGGCAACCACTCTGGGGCATGCATATCAAGACTCGCAGGTGCATTTCCCACCTTTACCGGCGTCGCAGACATAATCGCTGCATGTCTAAGCGCCCTCATCTTCCTCTCTCCTTCCCAATCAACCAACAACTCTTCGACGTGCTCATCAATCTGCTTCGTCGGCACTGGGACCCTACCCAGAGACCGGATCCATTGTCCTACAGCCGCCAGAGAGACACGTACCTCCCATGATCCACCTTCCTAAGCAAGAGTAAGCCTAACGACCAGAACAAGAAACGAGCTCGCACCGTTACAGTCTTGCACAACGCAGCGTTGATTCCAAACGCCAACAAGTACCCCGCCGCATGGTCGAGTGCTTGCATCGGAAGAGGACGCGGACCCGATTCTCCAAACGCAGCTCCTTCGTCTGCATTGAAGCCCGTAGCTGTTTGAACGAGGGAGTCAAACTAGCAGCAGAAATCAGACACGTTCAAAGTTTGATAGAAAGCAAACAAGTACTCACACCTCGCCGGTCCTTCCACGGACCGTCCCATCCCCAAGTGTTCAAACTCGCATACACCATCCCAGGTCTACCCACCCCAACTCCGAACCCCCTCGCCTCTAACCCTCCCGGCCGATACGCCTGCAGAAACACATCCGCCTCCTCACACAGCTCTCCTAGCTTATCCCTCCCTTCCTGGGTGTTCAGATCCAACTGCGTAGTGCGTTTACCCCGAGAGGTGTATGCGTCCAGGACGGGCAGGGCAGGAAGATGGGGAGACGTGACGAGGAGGACATCGGCGCCGTGTGCTGCTAGTGTTCGACCTGCTACGGGACCTGCTAGGACGCGGCTTAGGTCGAGGACACGGATGCCTTCTAGTGGGCGGGTCCCTCCAGTCAGACGACGCTTTGGGGCATCCCCAATTTTGGTTAGTGTAACTGGCGGGATTCCGCGGAGAGCCTCTGCTTGTGGATGGGCGTTCCATTCGTCGAAGGACCGGTAGGCGGTGGCACACATCCCCCGTCGTACTGCTTCTGTTTCAAAGTCAATCGAGTCCCATTGGACAAGCGCCTCTTGGACTTGGGGACGCATCACGGTTGGGGTATCAGGGATATTGAGGATGCCGAGTATACCTTTACGGTGACTTGTGAAACGTTTAGCTTCATTCGTAAGAACACTCACTGAGGGAAGTTTGTGTGGATCCTCACATGTCCACCGTTCCGAGTCTTGTACAATCCCGCTATCGAATCCCAGATTGATCCAGGTTTGACGCCATCGAGAGTATAATGTGCCTCGCTATCTACGACTGACTGAGCACGAACAACCACCATCAACCATAGCACTCACGAAATTCCAGTGCTGCGTGCCTCGAATCCACCGACACTTCTTGCTCGATCCCCGTCCGTAATTGGTGGAAATAGGCTGCGGATAGGGCTGATAGACCTATAGCTGTCTGCGAGAATGCATAAGAAAGCACTCGGTAGTTGAAAAGACAGGTACCTGTGCTGCGTCTCCCAGTTTGAACGAAGACGATATCGGCTTGGCGGGGTCGTCGAGGTGAAGGTGGCGCAGACTTGCTTCAGGGAGCCCGGTAGAGAGCCAGAGAGACGAGGCGGGTTCCATCGTGAGAAGGAAGGATCAGCCCGAAAATGCCGTGTTCAGATTACTGATCATCCCCATCGGGCTTGCATCGGCATTGATGCACTCCTCCCCATCGAGGTCGATAGGAGTAGTTTACTTCTATTTACCTGAGCTATATCAGCGGAGATGGCCAATCAACCCAGTTTTCCTTCCTATTAGATCTGAAGGAATATGCTATGGTAAGCGACTGTTTCAAACAGGACAAAATCCTGGTGTCTTTGCTATCTACGAGTGATCTGAGCATATAAATGATCTTTTATTAGGCACTATACTCACGAAATTCTAGGGCTACGTGACCTGGATCTATCGACACGTCCTGCTCGATTTCCCTTCGTAGTTGGTGGTATAGGATGGCTGTATGTGTAAGAAAGGTCCTTGAGGTTTGAGTCATGGGTCCTTGCACTGCGTCTCCTAGTTTGAATGACGAGAGTGTTGGCTTCGCAGGTTCATCAAGATGTAAGCGGTGTAGATTGGCTGGCGAGTGAGGGAAAGATCGGGCCGGATATGCCGTGTTCAGGTTTTTCAACTCGATGGACAACCAGCATCTCGCTTCCCGTTCCTCCCAGCATGAATACGTTGGTATCACGCTTTCATCCACAGATAGGTACATGATTCCGTCCTTCTCTCTTCTCCGTTTTTTTATGATCGATCTCGTCGGGACCATCCCACCCAAAGATGGTATCTCTGTCTACATGGCCGCAGTCGACACTCATCTAACGTCGGCTTGTGATGTCTATTGACATCGTTGGCTGAGTTGGTGCGTTCATTCGCCTCTCTTAATATCGCAGAAATGATGACCGGTAGCGATGCTCTTCTAAGAGACAGGAATGTGGCCCGTCAGCAGGCTAACACTTGCTCTTCGATACTGGCAGTGATAGCCACGCCGCACTTTCATTGGAATTGAATTGTTTCCGCTTTCCGAGTCGGCTTGGTTTTGGTACCCGGATCCCAGAGGCTTACGACATATTCATTTCCGCAAGTACGCGACGAGAGAAGGATTATCATTCTCACTTCCAATTTCCGATTTTCAAGCAGCTGGAAATTTAAGGTCCGATCAAAGCGCGCCTACCTCGTCATATTCCGTCTAGGCTCACCACAAATATATTTATACAAGGGCGAAACGACTACAGGTTTTCGTGACGATGGCGTGCACTACGGTCAGCTTGCTCTTGTTCCCGTTTATCTCGTCTTTTCTATGCTTCCAGTCGTCGCACATGGATGATCCATGGCATCAATGTAGGTTTCGTGTACATCAAAGGACTAGCTTGTTTATAAAATGTACAGATAAAGAATTACGAGATTGGCATCGTTTCCCCCTTGAAAAACAGGGAGGGTTTGGAGAAAGTGACATTTTGGGAAAGGCCACCCAAGCGCTATGATGAAGGTGGACTATGGGTATGTTTCAGCGTTAGGATTTTCTGGTTATCGCTTTGATTTCGTGTACAGATACGGGAAGAATTCAACTAGCAAATAGAGTCTGTCCCTCTGGCGATCTTATGGTGGAGGATGATAACGTTCTCATATTCTTCACAGTTCATGAATTCTTCAAGCTGATGGTATATCTTCCTCATCAAGACCGGAATTTTCATATAGAAATAGAGTTACACACCAATAATTGAGATATCAATTTAGAGACGAGTCGTTGCGATCTATAGACTATAAGGGCCGTCCCTTCAGCTACCGGTTGACAAATGAAGTCTACATGCTATTTCTACGATTTTCTTGTATTTGTCTCATTTTTATTTATTTTACCTGCCTTGTTTAGCGGTGTGGACAAGGTTTTTCGGAACGTCTGTATACGCAGCTTATTTCCACCAACCCCGAACGGACGTCGAACAGGACGTGTCAGTCCAGGTCACCTAGCACCGGAGTTTCATGAATATAGCGCCTAATAAAGATTGCTTATATGGTCAAATCACTCGTAGATAGCGAGGTCAAACCTGGGTTGATCTGAGATTTGATAGCAGGTCCGTACAAGACTCGAGATGGCAGACATGTATGGGTACATACAAACTTTCCTTGATGTAACTACTACGTGCCGTGTATTATATTCTCAACATGAATAGCCAATGAGGGCTAGATTACTGCTTATGGGCACTAAGTAAAAATTTCGCTCTCAAGACAGACTTATCAAAAAGATTCTTCAGATGAAAGATATTAGTCAACGACGAGGAAGCCTGCTTCGCTGTAACAACTTTTTACACCTGATTCATGGGGGTTCGAAAAGGCAGACTTTACGCGACACTGGATTAAATAATTGCCCGCCCATGATTGTATACATGCCGAGTGAGACCGTCGTAAAAAAATAATATATGCGGATTTTGGGAAACTACCACAGCGCCATCATCGCACCCACCGCCAAACCCACCACCAACGCCACACCACCACACGCCTGCCCACTGCCCCACCCCCACACCACCGAACTAGCCCTACTCGCAAAAGTCGTAATGAAAACCTTCGTTGGGTTCGGCGAGCCGCTTATCGTCACCGTCGGTATCGACGAATCCGGTATTACCGATGCAGATGCTGACGCCGAGGATACGTCCGTAGCATTAACAATAGAGAACCTGTCCGACAGACAATGCCTAACCATATGCGTAGAGTTTATGAAAACCATAAAATAGTCGTCTCCAGTGGGTACGTCCTCGAGGTAGATATTCAAAGACGTAGGGGAGGAGGGGAGAGCTTGCACTACACCGTACGTTAGCACGGACAAGTGGACGTAGACGCAGACATACGCACTATTGAACGCTACATACGTGATCCCCTTTACGTTTAGCCTCGTCATCTCAATGTCAAAAAAAGTCAGCCCATCCCAGACGCCCTTCTCCCATGAGAGGACGTTCACAGCGTTGTTCAACCATTGAGTGCTCCCCTGGGGTTCTTTGATCGTGAAATATGCTGGTCATAGTTAGCTTAGAACCTACTAACCGTATGAAGGGACGTACAGTGGGTGGTGTCGTAGCACGAAGCGAGGGTAGCAAAGCAGAGAAGACATAGGGATAGGAAACATCGACATAAGGGCATGAATTGAATACGTGTGTGCATAACTTGGACTCTGGGTGGTTCAAATTTGAGGACAGGGAGATGCGGGTGCGACAGAAACTGCAGATTAGACATGCACGGCATCCTTTATTACTGCCTTATACTGCGGTCATGGGGAGCATGTAAATGCAAGCGATACATTGTAACGTCAGAAGTCCTATCGGGGATTGGAAGATTAGAGAGCCAGCCGTTATCAAGCACCGAGGGTCAGTACCATTATTAGTATACGGGATGCTGCAACGACATGGGCGCCCTCCGTCCCGAACGAAGCTAGCTTTAATCGTAAAGGCGGTGTCGATCCAATGGGTGCGCGCAGAGGCGAGTTTCGCAGGATCTCTTCACTTGCCAAGGCTGGTACAGGCTAGGAGGGAATAGGACAGTTCTCGTCAGAGAAAGCTCCGTATCCACCAGCTAGGCGAGCAATTCGAGTGCTCAAGAATACTCCGGAGATACCAAGCTTCCAGTGACTCGCGATCGGAAATCAGTGTACAAGATGAACACGGTGTTGGTGTTGGTACCAACACCGGCACAAGCACAGCAGATGCCGGGTCATTTTAGCTCGTAAAAAATGAAACATTGAAAGGTTTTGTTTTAGCGAAGCCTGTGTCAGTCCTGAAAGAGCCGTCTGTAAAACGGTACATGAAAAACCTTCAAGTTTCCCGCTATAGAACAACGGAATTGAGACGATTTTTCGTTTTAGAACACTCAAACTGAGGGCGTAAAAACTGAAGCCGAAATCGAAACCTTTAAAAATCCTGTTCTAGGCCATCAAAAACGCGCCAGCCTCTGCAGTGAAAGTCCCAATCAAGAACGGCCGGGTTCATGGCCCTGAAATGGCAAGTCGGTTGCTATGCCACGAAGGCTCGTACCGTTGTAACCGCACAGTTTCCATATGTCTCGCAGAGTAGAGACTCTTCATAGGGTGCATTCTTTAAATGTATGGCAAATATGCTAGGACGCGTTTTCCAATGGACGTGCTCCTTGGCTAGTAAGATGGCGCTTTGGAGCTTCTCCGATTCTGATAAGCGTAACTGGAGGAACCCACGGAGGGACTCTGCTTGTGGATGAGCATTCCATTCGTCGAACGTCCGGTAGGCAGTGGCGCACCGCCGTCGTGCTGCCTCTGTTTCAGAATCAACCGAGTCCCGTTGCAGAAGGGCTTCTTGGACTTGGGCGCGTGTTACTGATAGGGTGTCGGGGATGTCGAGGATACCGTTACGGCGACTTGTGAAACGTTTAGCTTCAGTCACTGAGGGAAGTTTGTATGTATCCTAACATATCCACCGTCTCGAGTCTTGTAGAGCCCGGCTATCGAATCCAAGATCGGGTTTGACGCCATTGAGTGCATGAAGTGCTTATATCGAGCACGAACGACCATCATTGTTTAACTATAGCACTCACGAAACTGCAGTAATGCATGTCCCGAACCCACCGACACGTCCTGTTCGATTCCTGTTCGCGGTTGGTGAAGATAGGCTGTGGATAGGGCTGATAGACCTATAGCTGCCTGCGAGAACGCGTTTGTAAGGCCTCCGTAGTGGAGTAAAAGACGGCTACCTGTGCTACTTCCCCAAGCTTGAACGAAAACAATGTCGGTTTGGCAGGTTCGTGGAGGCGGAGATTTGCTTCTGGGAGCCTGGTAGAGAGTCAAAGCGTCGAGGCGGGTTCCATTGTGAGCGTCACTGAGAGAGGAAGGATCGGCCCAAATATGCCGTGTTCAGATTAGATCATCGATCATCCTCGTCCCTGACATCCATGACGACGACTCGCCTTCAAGCTTCAAGCTTCAAGGCTTATTTAGCTCCTTCTTTATCGCACTTGGCTTGGTTGGGGATTCAGCTCCTAGAAGCTAAGCGGTTGTGTACGACGCATTCGTTTTCACCAGTACTACGCGATGAGAGAAGGATTACATGATATGCGCACCCACCAAATTAACACTCCAGTCTCTTTGGCCTCGCAGCAAAATACCACAACTCTACATTCGACCTCCTTGTCAACCCAAGACGCACCTGCACATCTCTTACTGACACCGGTGTGTTCTAGTCGCATTTCTAAACAACAGGGACTTACCGCACCGAATACCAATCTCTCCCGATTCATGGGCTTTTCATTGGGCCGACCAATTTACGGATTTGCTTCGAGGAAAGATGCAGCTACTATCCAGGAAAGTTCGGATCATCAATGCTCAATTCTAGATGAGCGCTAGCGCCCAAGAAAGGAAGAACTACCTGCTGTGCACTATATTCTTAGCGTGAACAGCGAAAATGTTCGTCAATAAGGGCTAGATAACTGCCTTTGGGCACTGAGTTAAAATTTCGCTCTCAAACAGACTCATCAGCGAAGAATTCCTGGGACCTGAAATCAAAGAATCAGTTATCAACACGAAGTCTGCTTCGCTGTAACAATTTTTTCATCTAACGGGAGTTCGAAAAGGCAAACTTTATGCAAGACTGAATTAATTGCCTGTCCGTGATGGTATACACACCGGGTGATACCGTCGTCGAAAATTGGTATATGAGGGGGAGCTACCACAGCACCATCGTCGCACCCAGCACCACTCCCACCACCAACGTCATGCTACCACACGCCTGCCCTCTGTCCACCCCCCACACAACCGAACTCGCCCTACTTGCAAACGTCGTCACAAACCCCTTCGTCGGGTCCGGCGAGCCACTTATCGTCACCGTTGGTATCGTCGAATCCGGCGTAACCGATGCAGAGGCTGATGCTGAAGACACGTCCGTAGCATTAACAATAGAGAACTTTGCCGACAGACAATGCATAACCCCATGTGTTGAATTTATGAACAGCATGAAATAGTCGTCCCCCGTGGGTACGTCCTCGAGGTAAATATTCAGGGAGGTGGCAGAGGAGGGGAAAGCTTGTACTGCACCGTACGTTAGCAAAGGTCAAACGAGTGAACGCAGACACACGTACCGTTATACGCAATATACGTGATCCCATCCTCGCTCAGCCTCGTCATCTCGATATCAAAATGCGTCACCCCATCCCATACGCCCTTCTCCCACTGGAGGACATTCACGGCATCGTTCGACCACTGGGCGCTCTCTCGGGGTTCTTTGATCATGAAATATGCTGGGAAAAGTCAGCCTCAAGTTGAAATCGAAATCTGAGAAGGGGTACATACAGTGGGTGACGCACGAAACGAGGGTAGCAAAGCAGAGAAAACATAGGGATAGGAAACATCGACGTGAGGGCATGAGCTAAATGCGTGACTTGGACTCGGACGTGGTCGTTAACGTTGAAATTTGTGGGCTGCGGGTGCGTCACTGCGGATTAGAGATGCACGGCGCCCTTCATCACTGTCTTGTACTGCGGTCGTGTGGAGCACGTAAAAATTCGAACGATACATCGCAACGTCAGAAGTCAGGCCTGAGGACTTGGAAGATTCGAGAACCAGTAGGAATCAGCCGCGATGAAGCGCCACGGATCACTAGCATTATTAGTCCTCCGTTCCGAATGATGCTTTGTGCATAATGTATAGTAAAGGCGGAGTTAAAGCAATGGGATGCGCGAAGAGGCGAAACTCGTGAGCTCTCTTCACTTGCCGAGCGCAGGCTGATGCTGATACCGTCGAGGGAGAACAAGACAACTCTCACTCGGAAAACTCCATATGCACCAGCTAGGATGAGTGATGTTGGTGCCAAAGAAAGTTCCAGCGACATCAAGATGCCAGTGACTCAGAAGTAAACGCCGCACTTAGTATAAGATAAACATGGTGGAGGAAAGAGGAAGATTAACCCGGCCCTTCGGCCCGCCATGTGCAGTAAGTACGCCATCACGTGATGTTTCAACCTCACTAAGTAGGCCGCCCCTTCAGCTTTATCACTGCAATCGTGTGGAGCACGTGAATTTGAACTATGCATCATAGCAACGTTGAATATTACATGGAGTTAGGCTTGGAAGATTCGAAACGGACGGCGACCAGTGACCAAGCGCCACAGATCGCTATAAGGATGGCAGCGACCGTGGGCGCCCTCCGTTCTAAATAAAGGTTTGCGCACAAATGCGATATCATGATATAATGGGGTGCGCGAGGATCGTAGGATCTCCTCACTTGCCGAGCGCAGGTAGGTAGCATTACACGGCACGGTCCATCGGGGTTGAAGCTGGTGGTGGTACCGGCGCCAGGTCCCAATCACAAGGGGGGGTTGGAAATAAAATCCCGGACAGGGGTAGGGGGGAGGGGGGGAGGGGTAGCAACCTTAAACACGAAACCTCGCCTACCATATATAGGCATTTTTGGGGGTCTGATGGGTGCCATTGGCATGAAATAATAGCATCTACATTTAAAATGAAGATATTTAGCATCACATATACATTTGTGGTCTGTTTTTCACCTTAAAAAAGTTACAATGTGTCACCACCTAAGTCCCTGAGAGATTCACGTGGTCAAAATGATTACAAGAGCATTACAAATCATATCTATTATGGATATATTACTACCCTATATGGTAGGAGGGGGAGGGAGGGGGGGGGTCCCCTCAGCCTTAAACACGAAAATGTAGGTCATGTCGGGGATTTTATTTCCAACCCCCCCTTGCCCAATCAGGACCGGCGGGGTCCACAGCCCTAACATGGCAAGCCATGCGCCGTGGCCGCAAAGGCTCATACCGTTTTGATCGCACGGTTGCGTACGTCTCGCGGAGTAGTAGAGACACTTTGCAGGGCACTTTAAAAGATCAGTGTTTTTGGCATTCGTATCCTTCCACGGAATGCTGACCTGGTACGAGCACAGGACTGCGCTCTTGTCAAGAAGGGAAAAGGCTCGATATTCTTCCTGCGGAGATGAGAGTCTCTATACGAGCGCCAACGAAATTTCCGGCAACACCAAACTAACTCAGAAGTCAACGTCGGACTTTGTACACTAAGCTGAACATGATGGGGAGCAGAAGGAAGGTCAAGGTATTCACTGAGCTCGGCACTCGGCCCGTCATGCGTAGGACGCCATCACGTGAACATCTGCCACCCTCCCGCCAAAGCACACTCAAAACTTAAAAGTCATGAAGTACGAGACCCGGGACCCCAAACTCTAGACCGTCCTTTTTTCTTCCGGGGGGGAGAACACCGCCTCATCAGAAGGATCACAAACTGGAAGCCTGCAGGAAGTGCAACAGATATTCTCAGGAAAACCTCAGTGCCATCGAAGAAGTTAAAAAAATTTGGTGGGACTCGAAACTCAGCTCGCTGATCTACATTGGCATTCTGTATATGTTCCAGCAGACTTTATTGAGCACCATCCACTACTGGTGATATTCTTGCTGTATAGCACGAAGAAAGAAAATGTAATGTGCCACTTACCCCCTAGAATCAACTCGACTCTTGTCGATGAACGGCTATCACCGTTTGCACCTTGACAAACACCAGGTCATTACGTCGAAGGAAGGTTTGTCGCCACACTCATATTACCCCGGATCAACCATATTCCCCAGTGGAACGAATCTGGGAGGAGATCACGCGTCACCCATTTGGCTCCTGGTTCTTTGCATATTATTATCACCGTCTGGAATCGAAGCTCATTTACAGCGGCGCGTTAAATAACTCTGGGTCCGGGATTCCATATGTATGCTAAGGATCAGAAACATTACACAGACGGATCAGTCAGTATCTTTTCAAACTCATCTCATGGCCAAGAAGGTCGTTTATGCATGTGATACACGGGTATAAAATCCGAGATAACTAATAGACAACGCAGAGTAATGACCATTAGTGTAAGCTGTAAGCTTTCGAGAGAACAATCCCTAGAATTATGACTGGATATTAAGTTAATGATGTAACGATATGCGACCAAATCCATGTAAATGCGTGCGTCCATAAATAAATAGCATGATTGGAAATGTAGGAACTGCCAGTAGGTTCACCCATGTCTTTTTCAGAAACAAGCTGCATTGCCGCCACGATATGCATTCGCACGGCCTCCATCCGCTAAGAGTACACTTCCGTTCATATAGGCACCCGCACGACTGCCCAAAAACAATATAGCACCCGCCATATCCTAGAAACCGCAACATGTTATTAAGCCGCCTCAGTTTCCACCGGTCCGACTCACCTCTTCCGAACCAGCACGTTTTAGTGGCACATCATTGCAAAGCACACTAGGATCCAGCCTGTAACCCATATCCGTAACAGGTGACGTTGTCATTTCTAAACAAACGTTAGCTCGGTTCCGGCGTTGACGAAAGACCCAAAAACAATACTAACCACTAGGGAAAACGCCAGGAGCTAGAACGTTGCTACGAATACCCCATGGCGCCAATAGATTCGCCATCACCTTTCCAAGATGGGTGCACGCCGATTTTGACAGCGTGTACGACATTGAGAGGATTTTTGGATCTATCCGGAAGGAACCAGACGACGATATTGAGATCACTTGGGATGAATGGTATGGCGGCTGACAGTGGCTGAATGGGTTAAAGTCTGCTGCCTGCTGACGGAGGTTACCCTGATGGAGAAGGTCGAGAAACGCAACAGTAGTGTAGTATACCGCAGTCGTGTTCGTAGCAAAGACAGACGCAAAATCTTCTGGTGAACCCGTATTCCAGAGAGCAGACTGGAAAGATTTGATAGAAGGAGGGCCGAGGGGGGAGACGGGAGATCCGGGAGGAGAAAGTGGGTTCTGAACCGGAGAACCGGACGGTGAGGGGAGAGGATGGGAGTATAGATTCTTAGCGATTCCGGCATTGTTAATGAGCAGATCAATGTAGCCGTGTCGGGCTTTCACGACCTCAACCATTGAGAGGAGACTCTCGCGGTCGGTCACATCTCCGGCAAGGGGAATCAAATTGCCGAATCGCTGAGAGAAAGCTTAGTGAGGGACAGCGTCGGAAGATAAGGACATCGACGTACGTTGTTTTCTGCAGCGGCTTTTTCAAGGACGTCTTTTCTCCGTCCTGTAATATAAACGGTGGCCCCGTTGTTTTCGAGGGTAGTTGCCATCATTAGCCCGATACCTATAAGAAAAGGTTAGAGTGCATCAATGGAGATCATTGAGCCGGACATACCAGTACCGGCACCAGTGATAACGACGACCATGCCATCGACTTGGAACAAATTTCCAGGCATATACCTGTTATATCTCGAGGACGCGTCGTGAGAGTTGGAGCAACAGTGAGGGAGAGGGGCGTGCATCATAGAAATCAAGGGGTAGAAACGCAAATGTAATCGGAATCGAAGGGCGTGTATATATGTCGTCGGTGTTAGTGGCAGGACCGAGTAAGTCACCAGTGAAGATGCAGGGACGACGTGTTCGAACGGGGTGATGATCACTCCAAGGCAGAGGTAGAGGGCCTTTATAGGCAGAATTGCCAGCCGATCTTTTCAGGACGATGTCGTGAGCTTTCAGTCCTGATTACTGCATCGTACCTTTTCCGTGCGAATAGATTTACGTCCGCGCATGTCCGTGTCTTCCTCTTGATCCTCCATGGATGTACGTCGTTATGAAATAGTAAAAGAAGCCACGAGGAAGCTCAAACTCACGAGAAGGTTGCTTGTGGTGACCTGTTAAGGGGAACAAATTGAAAATCACGCCTAGTCTTATGGAGTTCCCAATCAGGAAGTCAGAGTGGTTTAACTGAAGAACCATGAAGCTTATGGAAGACTCAGCTAAAGTCGAGCCCATTTTATAGATCCTGGCAGGCTGTTGAGCAATGTCAATGAATTCTTGAGCATTAGCATTCGCGCATAACTCTCCCGATACTTTCAGTGTCAGTGTATTGCACCCTGAGGCTGAACGTGGGGTTGCTGGTAACAACAACCTCGGAGTTTCGAAGGCCAACAAGTACTCCCGCTATATCCGGCATCGAGGTGAAACGCACTACTCTGCAGCGAGGCGCGTCTCCCGAGTCTCATTCCGTGGTTTCTGTACACCGCGCGCAGATCGCATGACAAATTGGGCACTCCAGTCCACGTCCGACGCTGCTGATACTTGAATTCCGCGGACCGCAAGTGTCCACCGTTGTCCATAGTCAAATATGTTCGTAAATAGTTCTTCACCTTTTATCTTCGACCGTTGCTCCGTGGCGTCGAGCACTTGACGCAGAATCCGACGCTCGTCTCGCTTTCATTTGGTAGGCCGAGTATGAAGGGTCGCCCACGCTCTTTTGGTATAGTCACGTTGATGACGAATCCCACTAGGGGCACTAGGGAACGGGCAATGGCCTCACGCTTGCCATTCGATAATCATATTCAATTAAGTATGATTCGAGTCGTCTCCAGATGCATCGTCTATTTCAAAAATTTGGCTAGTCCGGTTTCGTACTGAAGGCAACGGATTCGAGATTTCCAGATCACTGATACGGCCGTGGCTGTGATCGGGCATGATGTCGTCAAACCCCAAGGTGGACCTACATCATCTTCACCGCCGAATGAGCATATGTGGCGTCCAGCCGAGATTTCACATATTCCCCCGCGGTAACGACCTCGTATTTCGACGGATATTCCGGAGAGATGCAACTGGGAATAGGCTACGCCACGAGATTAATATCTTCAAATTCCAAGCTGAAAGCGCCACACCTCGAGTAGGACATCATAGTCGGTACCAAAAAATAGCGGCATGGAATATCGCTCTTCCCCAGATCTGTTGATTGCGCGATGAAGGGTAGATTTGAATACATCGTCTGGGCACATGGCAGAAGCGATCAGATCGATTAGAAGGGTCGCAAGCGTCAAGTACGTACTCGTCCAACGCGCAAACTGATCCCCTAGATTCAACACCAATGTTCCGGGGATAGGAACTGCGTCTATCCATTTACCAGCCGTGTTCTTCACTTGCAGTGCGGGAACCTTGTCTTGCCAGAGAATCGTGAAGCACTAAGTACGTCAATTTTTTCTAATTTTGGATTGACTATAGCCGATCGCATACTCACTTCATAACTACAAGCTCAGGGTCATTAGCTTTCAAAAAAATTTTAAATCTGGAAGGAAATCATACTCAGTATGTGCTCCTATGCCAAGCACTTTCTCATGCTCATCCACGCTCGATGGCTTCTGGGAAGGATAATGCAAAAGTCGCATTATCGCAGCTGGTTTCGTCGTCTGCCAGAGCATGTGCAATTTGGTCAAAGCGATTTCGGATATGAGATTCACCTTGTCCTCGAAGAAGTTCTCGGGTAAGTCCAATGCTAGTGCAAAAAGAGGAAACAGTTTTTGGCCCAATCGAACGGCTTCATGGCTAGGGAACGTCAGTAAACCACAACCAGAAAAGACCGATTTTCAAGGATTCACTAATAATTCAAAACGGGTTCCTTGAAATCAGGAACCGCTTCGGGCCAAACGTTGCCACCCGACATGGCATTCTTATTCTTCGTCTCCTCTAAGTTCTCATCTTCCCATCCTAGGTCAAACCCTACCGATGAAGATCAGCCTGAGAATGTTGCGACGTAAGAAGATAGTCCTTCTGTCTACCTTCATGCAGATCGCCATGTCCTTTCGGATCGGTATTTTCTCCCAGGAGAGCGGTATAACCTTTGTAATTAGATGATCGATGAATATCCAGCTTGGAAAGGGGATGAGCGCTTTGAACCGCTCCAGATCTCGGCATTACGCACATCCATCTTGGAAGAGGTTGGCAACGCAAAAAACTTCTTTCCTGCATCTATGGCAGCTGTAATGGTGTCCTCAGCAATTCCATGATTGTTTACTAAGGCCATTAGCTCATAACGTCGTTAGATAGGCCTGTAGCCACTGACTGTAGAAAAAGCCGACTAGCTTTATATCAATAGATGGTTCAAAATCAGAAGCTGTGGTCTTACCATTGATACATGCATCCGTAATCTCGTTAGCCAAAGCGCGTCGCGCCACTGGATCGGTACTGGTCGCGTCCGTGATGTCACTACAATGTATCAGACATTGATGAATAAGAAATGACGGAAACTCTGACATGATGGGTATCTCTTCAAATGAACTTTCAGTGCGCTGATTGGACAACAGAGAACCCAAAGCAGATTCGAAGTGCTCATGGTGGTCCATGGCTGAGTTGCACGGACCGAGATCTGCGATACATATGTTTCCAGAATCGTCACGTGGATGTAATTCCCGCTTCGGCTCCGTCAATAGTTACTGACAAGTGTAACATGCTAAGTCTCCAGCTATGCGTTAACATTTCTTACAGCAGGCTAGACGAGGTTAGGCTACCCGACCTCAAGTCGGCTCGGCGTGCCATAGCTACCTGGTAGAACAGCATTCGAAGGACTGACGAAGAGACGGCGCAAGCTGCGCAGCGGACATCATGCTACGAGCCATGCTGGCATATGGTAAGCCATTGGACGGCCAGTTTAGAATCAAGTGAAGTCATGATAGGTACACATAAGAAAGTGGACAGCTTGAAGATGTCGAGGATTCAGACTAACCTCATCCGGCCGTTTTGGCGCAAGAAGCCTGCCTGAGTGATAACAGCATGCTTCTGTTAGATTTTTCTTGTCAACATCATTGGGTGTTCAAGTAAGGTATAGCTCGCTCGATCTTCGAGCTTTCCGATTCCGTGACGAATGCAGTTGCAATCTCGACGGTATGATGAAGAGGCCGGCACTAGGCAGCTTCGACAGCCTTGTCATTAATCATGGCGGGATGCCGTTGACGCTCCGATGAACTAAAGAACTGTCAGAATTCGCATATGGAACCGTTCACCTGCTCATGTGTTTGTGTGGATCGGCGACTAAAAGGACAAACGGCAATACTAAGAATTCCGTTCGAGGGGAGAACATCATACATACCGGATAAATGCGCGTCTATGTGCCTGGAAGAGCCGGTAGGAAGATCACTCCGGGTCAGGATGCGCTAAGAGCCTGAAATGAGAACTCCGATAGTCGACATAACGGAACTGACTTCGTAATGGGCAGAAGGAAACTCGTCAAGAGTAAGCGATTGTTCATCGCTTTGCTACAGGTAAGACAAAAGAACGTGACTGTGTTGCCTCATCACCGTTGTTCCACGAGCGCCAGCCCATTGAGCAAAATCAGGAGCAGTCGTGAACCCAAAGTGGCCCGCCATCTGTCATGGTGTGATGCTTAGTGGGGATATAAAGCATTGACCGTTACCACACATTAATCGGAATGTTGGGAGCCCAAAAAATGAGACGAGAAAATCCGATTGACCTGTATTATATCTCTTTCTTGTACATGTAAGTCTCTAACAAAAGCAACTTCTCAAGCTAGTAGCAAATCAAGGACTTGCCAAGTCCCGAGCAAAGTGGAAGAAGTCTACACTTGACCCATTTACGCCATATTTGTAAATCTGCGCAGCGGAGATTTAGCTCATAGAAATAGGCTGACATCAACAAACTCACGAAGTGCGACGCGACCCAACTTGAAAAGAGGGCACGTTGGTAGGGTTCCGGTAGCCTCTTCAACAAAGTGTCCAACCCAACTTTGTCGACAAGTGTCTTTGGAATCGCTCGCCGCATCACTCCTTTACGGCTTGGCAAGTCATCGTACAGATCTGAACTCTCCAACTCAGCTTGGAGGTTGTTAAGAGTGGAGGATAGCTCGTCAGAGATGATCGTGCGAGGTTTGGCACCCTGGAGACGTGAATGCTCGCGCCAGATACATTGGAACTCAGAGGCGGCATTCTCGGTAACCTTTTGCTGGATATCTCGGACGTAGCTTTGATAGAATTCAGACGGCTTGCCGTTGCTGAATATCATGAGGTCCAAGTATTCCTGTGTCGAGAGGGCTAGACCCGCAAGGACCTCCAGGGAAGAGCTGGTGACGCCACCTACAAGAAATATCAGTAAATTTGTATCTAAAGATAGGATGGACAACACTCACCCTTGTTCGTGCTCGAGTCCTTGAACAGCAGGACCTTTCGCTTTTCAAGATGGAGGCGCGCTTGCTGTGTCAAAAACAAATTGGCACCCTCAACAATATACTTGAAGTGGGCCTTCCCCTCGGAGTCGACGAGGGCCGCAACATTTGAAATGTTGACAGCTTCCGGACTGATAGGGAGCAACATCAGCAACATATACATAGGTCAACGAAAACCCATACACACCGACCGCCACAGGGAACAAACAGATCCGCCTTGTATCGCAAATGGGCCCCGTTACGGAAGTCAGTGCCATCCAGCACTACCTCTCCGGCTATGATCATTGATCATGGTGTTAGACTAAAAGAGACATGGCATGAACGCAGCCTTACATGGTAGCTTGATATCATGCTCCTCGACCTTGACTAGATAACCGTCCTTGCTCAGCTTGGACTTGTCAAAGTTGGCGACAGGTACACGAAGTTTCGCAAGACGGATCAGCTCTTCACGGTTAAGGCCAGCCGGATCAGCGAGTACACCACTACCATCGATAATAGCAATAGTCTTGTCAGAACTGAGTAAAATCTCATCTAACAAAGGCGATGAGCAGCCGTGCGCATGAAACGAAACCAATAATATTTACTGGATCCGAGATCACCATCTAGAATGGGCAAAATGACGAGTGAGCCGGGTAGAGCTGTTGAAAAGGAATAACCTACCAGGGCCGCCGGTCTGAACTTTGGTGATGTCCTTCTCCCTAAGGCCGAGCTGTTTGTAAATACCAAGGACATACTGTCGAATGGACAGTGACGTCATTCCATAGGTGTCGTGAGGCACACCGCCGAGAGTCTCCGCGCTCTTACCCGTCGTGAATGACTTCCACCAGGTCTCAGCGCCTCGGGCACGAGCGTGTACTTTATTTTGAAATGATAAGGCCGAAACATTCAGGAAGCGGAAAAATTGACTTACAAGCTGCCCAGTCCATCATATCCGCGGTGCCCTCTACAAAGGAACGCTAATTAGCTAAACTGAGCAAGTCGCGATGATGACGAGTCGCACCGTCAGGGCCAAAGAAAAGAAGCTCTGGCTTCCCGTATAGATCAATAAGATGCTCTTTAATTCCGGGAGTCTGCCCAGGAATTAAAAGGTCGATGATAGCCTAGACGAGTAGTAAATCAGCATCTATTTTGCGCATCGTCGATGCCTCTCCGATACTCACATCAACATATTTTTCGAAACATAATCGTGGAGTAGCCCCGAGTCTAGAGAACAACCATCGATATTGATACGCTTCTGTCTGAAACAACGTCACTTACGAAGGCAAGATGGTGCCCTTTGCACCTCCTTCCGGGATATCTTTGTTTTTCAAAGACTGTGTCGATGCCAAACCATAATTCTCGTCAAACCTATGCTATTGTGAGCTTTCCCCGACACATGACCCTGCATATGAACGTACAGCATCCTCTGGTTGATGGAATAATTTTCTTTGTTTCTTGACATGACAATCCGAATACCGCCGCGAGCGACGTCGCGGAAGCGTATATGAAAGCCTCGGAATTCATTTCCTGGAAAGTGTTCAGCCAGAGTACACTGGATGTAACGAGGGACCTACCAATCACGATGAACATGCCAAATGGTTTCTTGGGATACTCCACCTCAGGTAGGAAGTCGGGCGCGAGACGGAACGACAGAGCCACTTTGGTTGGCTGATAGAAGTTCGTCTTCAAGACATGTCTACAAAGCATAGCTTCTTTGGTATGTGTTAACACACCGCCGATACAACTTACTTGTTGAAGATCAAGAAGCTTTCCAAAACTTGCAGTTCATGCTTGTTGGGCACAGCACGACGGAGCTTGTCGTGCAATTCGGCATCCGACAAGGGTTGAGTGGTCTGTAATCGCTGATAAGACAGAGTCGGCCTACGAAAATATCAGCATATTAGGCTTGGCAAACGATAAGGAGTCATACATCAGCTGGGAAGCGTCATCGGCAGTTGGATAGTGTGTCATTGCAAAGTTAACATATAGAAGGCGGATCTAAAGGGAAAGTCAATGACTGCATTCATTCATTCATTGCTCAGATACCTACCAGCTCCGAGTGACTATGGATGATTTGTGCGATGCTCTCTCTCGTAAAGGTCTCTTCTCTGAATCTTCTCTTGATGTTATTCAGTACTTCTGCTTCAACCGGGTCGTTTTCGTTTAAAACGTTCTTGAGCTGCAAGTACGCTGGCCCCAGACGGTTGCAGAAATGCTGCGCGAATATCCAGCCGCAGTCTAAAGTACAGCGTGAGACCCGTCGGCAATGACGTTATATAATTAGACCCACACGCATAGGTAGCTTCCTGCACTGCATGGCTGCCTGACGCATTAGGGAGGAAGAACGGGTTATCAGGCAGACAGAAAAGCAGTGAAGCTTCCTTCATGACTTGGAAGATAGAATGCTCGATGGGCGGCGCGTTGCCATTGGGGATAGGGTTGAGGTAGAGCGAAATGATGGTAATGCCGTTAGAAAATTGTTCTACCCGCACTTCAGCATCCACAAAAATAGAAACAGAAGAGGAGATGATAACGCACCGACATATTTACGCGCGGAGTACAGAGAATAGAAGTGGTAGAGGTTCGATAGCGCGCTGAAGAACCGGGAGGTACCACCCATCTTGTAACCGATGACGATTCGCCGTTCCCGCGATCCTTCCACCTCATAGACTTCAATGACCGGACCATAACGTTCCTCGACACTGGACATGATCTAAATAGAGTAAATGAGACTGTAAGAGCCCCACAAATGAATGAATTAACCTGCTGATAGATTTGGATCGTGTTCTCGCTAGCCTTCTCCAAAAATGCCTTGTCCGACACGCTTCTGATTTCAGTCTTGCCATTGGCATCCTTAACCCCCTGGCGATTCTTTGGGAAGACACATTTTGTAACGAAGTAGCAACGGAGCTGCTGCGAAGCCGTAGCTGAAATAGATCCGGCAGAGCGGAAAGTTCTAGTCGGTAGGCTTTATCTGGCGTGGAATTATCGAAGAACAAGGAATCGATCCTGAGATGAAAACGTAGCCACCAAGCATAGCACGTTCAGAGGACGCATATATGCGCTAAAATTGACCAATGACACTGACCTTGACTCGCACGTTGCTCCGGGACCTTCCGTAGTAGTCAATCCAGGCTTGCTGGTGTGAATGAACGTCGCGCCATTGTCGTCAATCTTCTCCAGGTCGATGACGAGCTTGCTAGGGTCGTGCTTCGTGTAGGCAAGGATTTGGCTCCAAACAAAGCAATAATGTGATCACAGATAACTTGACGAGATTCATTCTGAAAATAGGTATCGTCGATGCCGAGGTTGGAGTAGAACCAGTTGACTTCGTTGGCAACCAGTTCAGGCGGAATAAAGCCCTACACGACGAGGATCGAGTCAGATACGACGATGGATGAAGGGCATGGTTACCGTACCTGGCTGCTACCGTCAGCCTGGACTAATGCGCGCTGCTCCTCCTTGCCCTTGAAATACTGGGTGTGTTGTACCCAGGCCACATTCTTGATACGATGCACCGAGGTGTCGCGTACCCGTCCTCGAATTTGGAACGGACAGATGGGCATAGGGACCAGTGGCTAAAGCGCGCCGTTGCCGCGTCAGATGGAGTCGAGTGACA